CAAGGCACAGTCCCGATGTTACCAATCCACACGGCAGGCCATTAATTCAAGTCCATTGAAAGTCCCAAGATCAGCAGAGCATGGCAGGCTGCTGAACAACGACACGGCTCCATGCAGGGTCCAAGCATGCCGTAAGCTAGTGAAGGTTCCCCAAGGCTTCTCCTTATGTACAGGAAGCAGACCACATACCCAAAGGCTCCCAGTAGATTCCACCGTGGAGTTGATTGCCAGTCTCATCGTGGGGAATACTACATCCAGCTGCCCAGCCCCTCAACCAGGCTGACACACGAACTGAACCACCACATCGTGGGGCCTGTGGGCCTGTTGGTGCTGCGGGGAGTCAGCGCCAACGCCTGGCGGCCCCTCGTGGAGCGGAATGAAACGCCCGGTCCTGCGTCATCCCCACGGTCAGGGGCAGGGCAGAGCACTGTGATCCACACAGATTGTCACCGTCTGACTTCTGCTCAGCACACCGTTCTTCCCAGTCTGTCTGAGTCTGGACGCTCCGCTGACGCCCTTCAGCATCGCAGGACACGCAGGGTCCACGGACAGACGGGTGGGGCTGTGGGCCGGGAATGGAGCGTGTGCGTCCCACCTGGAAGGTGAGAATTCCATCACTGAACCCCACATTTGGACTTGGGGGAGGACAGATCCCTCAGCTAGGATTACCCACATACTATGCCACTTCCAAAGTCTGTGGCCTCTTTATATTGTCAGAAAAATTCACGCAATCCTGAAGGCCTCTTAGCACAGCCATCCTCTTCCCTCCTGATGCCGTGGCCTCGTTATGTCTGTTATGTGGCGTTGCAGCCGGTTCTGGGACGCTAGGGAACTGCAGGCCTGCCCGTGCCTTGCATCCCATGTTGGCAGTCCTCGTTACCTGTGCCTGTCGCAGGGTTACATTAGGAAGCCGTTCCCCGTCTTCTCCCAGACCCAGTCTGTTCGTGCATGTCATCTCCTGTAAGATTACACCCAGGTACACACGACTGGGAAACATCGCCAACCGTCCACCCGCTCGCTCAGCCTGCAGCCCTCTGGCCGTCATCACATCATGTTGTCGTTGTTAGGTGCCGTCGAGTCGTTTCCGACGCATAGTGACCCCATGCAAGCAGAATGAAAACCGTCTGATCCTACGCCAGCTCCATGATCCTTGCTATACTTGAGCCCATTGTCGCAGCCACCGTGTCAGTCCATCTCGTCGAAGGCCTCCCCTTCTTTTGTGGACCCTCCACCTTACCAAGCATGACATCCTTCTCCAGGGAATGGTTCCTTCTGACAACCTGACCAAAGTAGGTGAGACCAAGTCTGGCCATTCTCGCTCCCAAGGAGCATCTCGGCTGTAGTTCTTCCAGGAAAGACCGCATCATAAGGCACAAATTTATAAGCATTGGTTACCGTGGAGGCAACTCCAGCTCACGGCGCCCCCATGTGGGTCAGAGCGGAACTGCGCTCAGCACGGTTTTCAGGGGCTGGTCTCTCAGAAGTAGACCCAGGCCTTTCTTCCAGGCACCTCTGGGTATTTCATCACTGCAAAAAGTCAAGGAAAGGTTTACACAGGGAAGGACGTTTTCTTTGTTGGTTACTCAGGAGGAGAGGGGAGGGAAAATTGCTAGATGAGTTAACAAATGCACATATACATGTACATGAATATGCGTACAAACCAAGGACTCAGTGGTTACGGGGGGGGGAGGGGAGGCTTTGGTTTGCGGGGCACTGAGCTCGTGCTTATGGTGGTGGCGTGTTTAGGAAAAGGCCAGCAGGAACAGTGACGCAACGTGAAAGATGCCATCAGCGTCCCTGGGCTGTAAATGGGGAGATGGTTATTTTGGCGACTGTCTCGTGTGTTTTCACCATAATAAGAGTGAAACAGCAGCAGTGGGTGACGTCACTGCCTGGACGGGTGCGTTTGGAGTGGTGCAGGGCTTGAGTGAGTGACGGCAGTTTCCAGGGCCTCAGTGGTCCTGCCTGAGATATGGGGGTGCAGATGCACCCTTCTCCCAGCCTGGGGTGCTCTGCCTGGCACACGGGGCGCCTCTCAGAACAGGAGCCAGATGGTGCATGGCTTCCAAGACGCCTGTGCGAGGGCCCGGGGCAGAGGTCTTGAGAGCTGTGTGAAGCGTGGCCAGGCTTCCTCCAGGCTGTTGCTGACTGCCGGCCTCTGGTTTCTCATCTGTGTTTTCTGATTTTCCTACTCGACACGTTTGTCTCACGTGCGGTCTTTGCGACGTGCATGCTGTGTCACATCCTGTAAAATGCATCGAGGTGCTGAGGGGACTTCGTACTCTCGCTGGCTCCGTCCTGTGCAGCCAGAGGAGGTGGCTGTGGGCTGTTCCACGTCTTCATTGTCGTCGGGCGCTGCCAAGTTCAGTGGGTGATCCCCACTCAGCCACCCCGGGTGACAGCAGAACTGCCCACAGGGTCTCCCGGGCTCCCATCTTTGTGGAGCAGACGGCCAGGTCTTTCCCTGCAGAGCCGCTGGGGGTTTGAGCCACCACCGACCTCTCGGTGTGCAGCTGAGCGCTTAGCCACTGTGCCACCAGGGCTCCTCTGAGCATCTTTACAAGGTGATCAGACAGGAGGAAGTAGTAACACTGCGGGCAGGTGCACAGGGACCAGAGGCCTTCGTGGTCCCCAGGGCTGGGGAGGGAAGGAAGACACGGGCTTAGGGGACACAGCCCGTGTGAAGGGGCACGGGAAGGTCTGGGAACGGCCGGCTGCGGTGGTTGGACAACGCGAGGATGTAGTGTGTGTCCCTGGGCTGTACGGTGCTGCCGGTACAGAGGGCAAACACTGTGTGGTCCGGTGTGAAGAACCCACGGGAACCACTGAGCTGCACCCATGCAGGGGGACGGCTGTCGGGGAGGCTGTTGAGGGCCGCGCGCAGAAGCGCTCTGACCGACGCCTCGTTTGACTCCGCCTTCCCCTGCCCTTCTCTCTCCCTGCCCTCTGCCCCACCCCCCGTCCAGGTGTTCTCCTGCCCTTACGCCATATACAGCTGTTGGGTCGGGGGCTCCATCCTCTGCTCGCTCTCTACTTTCAAGGACATGTGGGTCACCAAGGACGAGTATGGACACATTGGCTCCTCCATCGTCAGCAGAAAAAGCTTCTGAGCACTGGCTTCCTGGAAGCCACTGTCACTCATGTTGTCCCAGGGCTGGCATGTGCTTGGCTGAAATGACTGGAACTCGGAACCAACTGGGATGCAAGGGCTGCCCTTCCTTCCACAGCCTTTAACACAGTGGGTCACACAGGTCAGCGCCTCTGCCTCTTCCTCGGGGCCAGGTTTGCAGTGGGCACTCCAGGGGCTAATGTGGAGTAAGGGCTGTGGCTCAGCCTCCTGAGAAGCCGTGGTGGCGCAGGGGTTAAAGCACTAGGCTGCTAATTGCAAGGACAGTGGTCTGAACCCACCAATCACTCCGCAGGAGAAAGATGTGGCAGTCTGCTTCTGTAAAGATACAGCCTTGGAGACCCCGTGGGGTGTTCCACTCTGTCCTCTAGGGGCACTGTGAGTTGGCATCTAACAATAACGACAACTTCGTCTCCCAGGGCTGCTGTAACAGAGATACCTCGGGGGAGGGGGCTTTAACAAACGGATGTCTATTTCCTCACAGTTAGGAGGCTGGAGGTCTGAGTGCAGGGCGCCGGCTCTAGGGCAGGCGCTCCCACTGTCAGCTCTGGGGGCGCTCCTTCCTCAGCTTCTCCTCAGCGTTCCGTGGAGGTCTCCACGTGGACTCCAGCTCTCCCGTCTGCGTTTGCCGTCTCTGTGCCTAGTCTGCTCTCTGTTCCAATTCAAAAGTCATCGGGGTTAGGACACACCCACACTATATGGCTTCATTAACATGACCAAGAAAACCCTATTCTAGATGGGGTGACAGCCTCAGGTGCAGGGGTTCAGATTCTAGTACGTATCTCGGGGAAAACAATTCAATCCATAACACATGTCAGTACAAAACAGAAGACAAGAAGTTGGAACAGACTACGAGGAACAGATCCTAAAGAGGTGGGATCCGGGACACGAACAGGTACGTGCACGGCCATGTCTGTCGCAGCACTATTCACAATAGCAAAGAGGTGGAAACAGCCTAGGTGCCCATCAGCAGAGGACTGGATAACCAAACCGTGCTGCATACACACAATGGAATACTATGCAACCCTAAAGAATAATGAAAAATCTACAAATCGCCTCATAATGTGGATGAACTCGGAGGACACTATGCTGAGTGAAATAAGCCAGTCACAGAAGGACAGATATTGCATATAAAAAGTCAAGGAAATGTTTACACATGGGAGGAAATTTTCTTTGTTTACTAGGGAGGTAGGGAAGGGGAGAGGAAAGCCATGGACAGTAGTTAAGAGACAGATGTTTATTTGGTGAAGGGAAAGGCAATATAACGGAAGTGTGTGATCATAATATCACTATGGAAAAGGGAGACGCTGTTGCAGACGTGCTACTGTGTGGTCAGTAACGGCACATGCTAATGGACGGTGGATGCTGGTGGACGGGTGGGGTCAGGCAGGTGCAGGCGGATGGGAACAGACCCACGGCCGTCCGTAGGTTTGACCGATGATGTTCCTACGTACGTATTTGTATGCGCTTCAAAAATGTCCACATGCAGTTTAAAGCCTGTGGGACAAAGTTCGGATAACTTCTTAGCCACAACTAAGCACCTTGAGACAGTGAGTTGCTGGGCCTGCAGGCTCGGAACCATGGCCATGGGTGACATCAGTTCAACTGGCATAACATAGGACATACAAATTGTCCCACCTCTTACTTTGGTGGGTAGTGACTGGGGTCTTAAAAGCTGGCAAGTGGCCTTCTAAGATGCAACTTATTGGTGTTCTCGTCTAGAGCAAAGGAGAATGAAGAAGTCAAAGATGTGTGGACTCAATCCCAAGGACTGATGGGCCATGTGGGCCTCAACCCACATGACCCTGAAACCACAAGAACTAGGTGGTGCCTGACTACCAATGCCAACTTGGAAAGGGGTCAAAACTGGAGATCCCGGATGGAGTAGGAGAAGAAAGGTGGAACAAAATTCAAAATAGAGAACTCCAGTTTACTGGTCAGATAGATATGCGTGAATCCCCTGGGACTGTGGCCCCTAGTCACCCTTTGGGCCTGGAATTGAACTCACTCCTGTGGCTTGGCTCTCAGGCAAACAGTAGACAGGCCTATGCGGTGAAGAGTTACACCAGGGAGATGCACTCCTCAACAGTCATCCGCGGGAGATCAGAAGGGCAACATTCACACAGGGAACAAGCTGGGGTGGGGGAGGTGGGCAGGAACACGTAGGAAGGAAGGACGGGGAGGAGCCACAGGGAGGAGGTGGCAGGAGAGCTGTCCCACTGCGGGGATCGCAATCAGTGTCACGAAACAGTGTATAAGAACTGTCGAACGAAAAATGAATCTGCTCTGTAGAATTTCACCCAAATCACAATAAAAAGTAGAAAAAAAAAAGTTGGACTATGTGCAAATGGATGAGTGACCAGTTTCGGTGGACCATCACGTGGGTTTGCTGTGCATTGAAATCGATTTGATGGCGCCCAACAGCAGCATGGTCCCTGCGAGGCCAGCCCTGTAACCACATGCTGTCTGGTGGCAGTGCCACTGAGTTGGTTCTGAGTCATGGCAACCCTGTAACACAGCAGAGTAGAGCTGTCCCAAGGCTGGCATCTTCATGGAAGCAGAGTGGTTTGGACTTTGACCTTTTGGTTAGCAGCTGAGCACTTAACCGCCGCACCACCAGGGCTCCTTTAGTATGTGCTGTGGAGCGTAATCATGAAGGAGTCCTGGGCGGACGTGCTCTGCTTTAACCAAGAGGTTGGTGGTTTGAACCCGCCCATTGGCTGTAGGAAAAAGGCATGGCGGTCTGCTCCTGTGTAGATTACAGCCTGCAAACCCCTGTGGGACAATCTGTTGTGTCCCACGGCTCACTGGGAGGCAGAACCAACTCAGTGGCACCCAACAACATTGAGAAGTTTGATGGAAGGATTCAGTGAAAAGTAAAAACCAAAGAACCATGAGAAACTGACAAATCCACAGTCATCGTTGGGATGTTCAAAACATGTCTCTCGTTTTAAAACATGGGAGGTACAGACAACAAAGATGAACCCTTCTGCACATACAGTACTGCATTGTCAGTGAAGACAAACATTGATACATGGGTGGATAGATGGGTGGACAGGCTGAACTGGTAGGTATGGGGGAGGAGCTCTGGTGGCATAGTGCCTAAGGCATTGGAGTGCTAACCAGAAGGCTGGCGGTTCAAACCCACCAGTCACTCTATGGAAGGAAGATCAGGCAATCTACTTCCATAGAAATACCGCCTCGGAAGCCCAAGGAGGGGTCACTGTGAGTCAGATCCAACTTGACAGCAGTGAGTTTTTAGTTTGATGCAGGGGGGAGTATACCCATGACCATTTATAGGGTTGGCAGACAATGTTTCTACAAATGTATTTGTATGGTCTGTAAGGATTTCCAGGTATATAGTAGAGCTGACAAGGGACAAGGTTGTAGTCACTTCTTGGCCACAACCAGCTACCCGGAGGGAGTGAGTAGTTGGACCTGTGGGCTCGGGACCATGGTTGCAGGGGGCATCAAGCTCAATTGGCATAACAACCTATACAAAAACATTGTTCCACATCCTACTTTGGTGAGTAGTGACTGGGATCTTAAAAGCTTGCAAGTGGCCATCTAGATGCAATGACGGGTCTCTCCTTGTCCAGAGCAAAGAAGAATGAAGAAAAAGACACATGGAAACAATTAGTGCAAGGGACTGGTACATCATGTGATCCTCAGCCTATATGACTATGAGACCAGAAGAACTAGGTGGTGCCTGGCTACCACTGTTAACCACTCAGAGGGGGATCTCTGTAGGAGATCCTGGACAGAGAGGGAGAACAATGTGGAACAAAACTCAAAATCATTAAAAAAAAAAAAGGGGGGTGGGGACCAGGTTTGCTGGTCTGATAGAGCCTGGTGGAACCCCTGAGACTATGGCCCCTAGCTGCCCTTCAGATCTGGAATTGAACCCACTCCTGTGGCTTCCAGCCAAACAAGAGACAGGCATACGAGCTGAACATTTACATTAGGTAGATACACTCCTTGGAGAGATCAATCATGAAAGAATAGAAGGGCTGTTGATGCACAGGGAGACAGCTCAGGGGGCAGGAGTGCATGGAGGGATGGACACAGGGAAGAGGTTAACTACAGGGAGGAAGTGGGAGGGGAGTTGTTGCATTGTGGGAGATTACAATCAATGTCATGAGACGAAGTGTATGTGAGCTGTTGTATGGAAAGTGAATTTGCTCTGTAAACTTTCACCCAAATCACAATAAAAAAAACACCACTTTTCTTGGTAATAGACAAGGCAACTAGGAAACAACAACAATTCCAAGGATATGAACAACATAGGGCTGTAGAGTGTGGCCAGTGGTTCACCAGGACCGGCCCCTCGTCTTCCGGGTACAGGTAGAGAACATGTCCCAGCATCCCAGGCACTGGGGCGGCCAAGGCTCTGAGTTCTAACCAGTGTGAGGTGAGGGAGAACGGGCCTCACTCCTTCCAGGGTGGACGCATACACACGCCCACACACGATCCCCACTCGGACTTCTCCCTTCCCGCTGGCTGGCTGGGAGGTGACCTCCAGCTGACCTTGGGAGCCATGGGTGGAGGATGGAAGACCAACAGGATGGGAGGAGGCTGGGCTTAGAGAGGAAGCATTCTGATTGTTGACTAAATCAGCCTGTAGCGGCCAAGTCAGCTCTGCCTCACAGGATCCCACATGTCCAGCGGGACAGTCCCACCGGCTTGTCGCGGCCATGACCTTTTTGAAGCTGATCACCAGGTCTTTCTTCTGAGGCACCTCTCGGGGGGCATGAACCTCAACTTTTCAGCCAGCAGCCAAGCACTCAACTGTCCGTGTCACCCCGTGGGCGCAGTGAATGACCTGGCATGGCTCTTGTAGACACAGTCTTTGTGACTCCCACTGGATTACTGAGTGGGTCCATGCAAATAATGTGTGTAGAACTCTGACTGGGACTGGTTAGTTTTGTCACTGTGCCAGGCTTAAAATGCGCCCTCCTAGAGGGAGAGGGGATCTCACTGCCA